TGGTCACTCTCCAAATGCCCACAGTGCCTGGAGCTGGGCCAAGCTGAAGCCAGGAGCTGGAAATGCAATCCAGGTCTCCCACGTGGGTGGCAGGAGAACAAGTACTTGAACCATCACTGCTGCCGTCCAAGGTCTGCATTAGCAGGTAGCTGGAATCAGCAGCCAGCAGTGGGGAGCAAACCCAGGCACTCCATGTGGGAGGCAGGCATCTTAACTGCTAGAGCAAATGCCTGGCCCTTCTGTTGTCTTCCAAGCACTCGAGCCGAGGACTGACAACATCTCCTGTGCACAAACAGCTTTCGCATGTTTCAGGACACACCCAGGTAACCTACCTCATTCCCCTCTTCTGACAAAGATGAAAATCTCAAACTCACTTTCCCCACCCTCTTCCTGGACACGGAAAATCAGCTGTGCATCAGATTACCAAAAGCTAACCAATCGGGACTATCAATCTTTAGTCACCTCAGGTTCCAAATGTCTGGGACCCTGCCCTGATTCTTCCAGTTGCTGATCCCGACTCCTCCTCTGACTGGACTACAGACAATTCCAGAGAGCACTGCAAAGTCTCCCAGTAACTGGCATGGCCAAGGCTCCCCAGATCACTAATCCACGGTCATGGTCAATTATTATGTCCTAGGGAGAGGATGTTTAGCTGCCTGCCATGGGAACCCTGAATAATGTCCACCAGAGGCCCCCCAGTGCCACACCTGCAGCAGGTGTCCAATCACTGACTTCTCAGGCTGCCAATCACTGACCCAAGAAGTGTCTGAAAATTGACTCATGGAGAGGCCAAACCCTGACCACTGCTGGAGGGTGTTATGGCTCCCGTTCCAGACACCAGCCCAGTATTCCTCAAGAAATCATCTACTCTCCAGGCTGACTCCATGTCCCACTCATTACAGTTACCCATAGGACACCAAATCAGTAATTCCAACCGTTTTCAAGATATGACTTCCAAAGTCCTCAGATCCCTAAAGATTCCAGGTTTTCAGCCGGCAAGCACCTCAGATCCCTGGTTCCTAACTCCCAGAGGTTCCAATCACTGATCTCAAGAAAAAACCTTAAGATCCTCCAGAGAAAATTCATGCTTACAGAGGTGCTCATCAGCTCTCAACTGCATCTCCTCCCCAATTAATGTGCACCAATGGTATGCTTAAGATATCTATTCACTATCCCAAATTAGCACCAACCCTAGGTCTTGCTGTTTCTCATTTATGTTTCAAATTCATTCTTACCAACTTTTGATGCAAATTAGAATCACGGAAGAACTTCTGAAATGTGCTGATACGTACACCTCAGTCTTGAATTCTTCAGTCAGTATTGCTGAAGTGGGACTCATGAAAATGTATGTGTTCCAAGTTCCACATGCGATTCTGATGTTCAGTGAAAGGTGATCACTAAACCACTGATGCTGCCCCACAAAGCTACTAGAAATTATTTTTTTTTTGTAAAAAAAAATTATTTGAGAGGCAGAGTTACAGACAGAGGAAGAGAGAGACAGAGAGGTCTTCCATATGCTGATTCACTCCCCAAATGGTCAATCCGAAGCCAGGAGCCAGGAGCCAGGAGCCAGGAGCCAGGAGCTTTTTCCAGGTCTCCCATGTGGGTGGCAGGGACTCAAGCACTTGGGTCATCTGCTGATTTCCCAGGTGCATTAGCAGGGAGCTGGATCAGAAGTGGAGCAGCCGAGATTTGAACCAGTGATCATATGGATGCTGGTGCTGCAGGTGGAGGCCTAACCTACTATATCACAGCGCTGGCCCAGCTACTGGAAATCATCACAGGAAACCTTGCAATGACCAAGACTGGTTATAGTCTTGTAGTCCAAAGATGGGGAAGCAAGTTTTATTTAAGGGAAAGGAATGAGGGTTTGTCACCAAGACAGAAGTTATCATTTCTTGTAATCTAACCACAAAAGTGACATCCCCTTACTGTTAAGGTATCCTATTGGTTAGAAATAAGTTAGCCGGCGCTGAGGCTCACTAGGCTAATCTTCCGCCTTGCGGCGCTGGCACACTGGGTTCTAGTCCCGGTCGGGGCGCCGGATTCTGTCCTGGTCGCTCCTCTTCCAGTCCAGCTCTCTGCTGTGGCCCGGGAGTGCAGTGGAGGATGGCCCAAGTACTTGGGCCCTGTACCCCATGGGAGACCAGGATAAGCACCTGGCTCCTGCCTTCGGATCTTTGCGGTGCGCCGGCCGCAGTGTGCAGGCCGCGGCAGCCATTGGAGGGTGAACCAACAGCAAAGGAAGACCTTTCTCTCTGTCTCTCTGTCTCTCTTTCTCTCTCTTTCTCTCGCTGTCCACTCTGCCTGTGCAAAAAAAAAAAAAAAAAAAAAAAAAAAGAAGTTATTCAAATGGAGATTACACAAGGGATTACTGAGGACCAGCTTTTTTTTTTTTAAAAGGTCTATTTATTTATTTGAAAGTCAGCATTGTAAGGGGGTGGGGGGAAGAAGGGAGGGAGAGAGAGAGAGGGAGAGGGAGAATGTCTTCCATTCTCTGGTTCATTCCCCAGATGGCCAGAACTGCCAGGACTTGGACAATTGTCAGGTCAGGGAGCTGGATTGGAAGTGGAGCAGCTGGGACTCGAACCAGCTCCCATACGGGATACTGGCATCTTAGGCAGCGGCTTTACCTGCTATGCCACAATGAATTCTCCAGGGGGACCGTCTTAAGAGCTAATTCCCCAGGAACATACTCTAAATAAACAAATATAAAATGAGAAGTGAGACCTCAAAATAAGAGAGCAAAACTATGTTCAACAATCACTTCTGGGATAAAATATACACCCCCTGAGGTATACACTCATATCGTTAAATTATGGTAGATGAAGCGATTTGGGACTTTGGATAAATACATCACATGAGATTTCTTGAAGCAGAATTAACATAAGAATATTCAAGTAAACAGCTTAAATTTCTGTAGAAAAAAAAAACTTAAAAAGCAATACTGTTCATTGTTAGGCACAATCAGAGGATAGAATATCTTTCTCTACAAAAAGAAAGGTCCAATTATATTCTGATCAAATCGTAGAGAAGATGATATAGTTGATATAATTTAAATCTAGTAAAAATAAAAATTTTCAATCTAACGAGTTTTAGGGGAAAACAAAAATGAGCACAAGCTTCATTAAGCCATTTAGAAGGATAAAAGCTATCTGTAACATCAATAGGAAGCACAACATAGCCCAAAAAGATGAGTTTTTTTTTTTGACAGGCAGAGTTAGACAGTGAGAGAGAGAGACAGAGAGAAAGGTCTTCCTTCCATTGGTTCACCCCCCAAATGGCCGCTATGGCCGGCACTGCGCTGATCCGAAGCCAGGAGCCAGGTGCTTCCTCCTGGTCTCCCATGCGGGTGCAGGGCCCAAGCACTTGGGCCATCCTACACTGCCCTCCCAGGCCACAGCAGAGAGCTGGACTGGAAGAGGAGTAATTGGGACAGAATCCGGCGCCCTGACCGGGACTAAAACCCGGGGTGCCAGTGCTGCAGGTGGGGAGGATTAGCCTCGTGAGCTGCGGCGCCGGCCGAGATTTTTATAATTATACAAATTTAAATAGACTGAATCTCAAGACACAAATGTGGGATTAAGGGAAAAATTATGCAAGGGGTCCTCAAAAAGTTCATGGAAAACACGTATGATGAAAAACCTATGTTTGGATTTCAAAATTTGTTCACACCAGATAGACCTATTTTTCAAAGATTTATTTATTTATTAGAAAGGCAGAGTTACACAGAAAGAGAAGGAGAGGTCTTCCATCCACTGGTTCACTCCCCAAGTGGCCACAATGGCCGGAGCTGCACTGATCTGAAGCCAGGAGCCAGGAGCTTCTTCCAGGTCTTCCACGTGTGTACAGAGGCCCAAGGACTTGGGCCATCTTTTACTGCTTTCCCAGGCAATAACAGAGAGCTGGATTGGAAGTGGAGCAGCTGGGACTCGAACCGGCACCCATATGGGATGCCGGCACTGCAGGCAGCGATTTTACCTGCTATGCCACAAGTCTGGCCCCTAGACCTATTTTTTGAATTTTTTCTTCCCACAAACTTTTTGAATACCCTCGTATACTTATACCCAGATACAACAAGTACATCTCTAGCAAAGAGAAAAATGCAGAAGAAAAAAGGTTCAGGATAAGCTATACCAGGTAAGTGGCAGCAAAACAAAAGCAGTAGTGGTGATGTACTTACCAAAGTAAAATTCAAGGGCAAAAGCATTCAAAAGACAAGGCAAGGAAAATACACAATGGCACTGTGCAAACTGGCCAAAGACATATACTTTTAGGTTCTTCTTCCCCTACCCCCCTAAAATAGAGCCACAAGAAGAAATTTCTTTTAAAATATTACAATAGATTTATTGTACTGCTTGATAATATAACAGCTGAAGTACACAGAAAGACAAAAAATAAGAGTAGGGAAGCCTAAATCATCACACTAGATTGAAAAGGCCTTATGAGTAATGTATACTTAACAAATCAGGCATATAGTTTATTCTCACATCCATGAACGTTTTTACACACTCCATTTGGGTAGCTGGGTCACACTGAAGACATTGAATAATGCTTCCAAGTTTATATTCAACAGGCTACATTCTTCTGATCGTAGTGCAAACATTGCTTACATAAAACGAAAGAACCAAACTACCTAAACCAATTAAAAATCAACAAGACTTTCCTCAATACCTAGTTTCATACCACATCATGTGATACACCACTACATTTAGGAGAAAGTAAATAGTTTCCAAACCTTTACTATAGAAAAAAAAAAAAAAGACTTGGAAAACCCAAAATGGTTGAGTTGGGAATTTAACTCAGGAAATTAGAGAAAGAACAACAATACTCAGCAAAAAAAAAAAAAAAAAAAAAAAAAAAAAGAAAGAAAGAAAGAAAAATATAGAACAAAAGTACAAAAGTACTAAGAACTAGTAATCAAGACAAATAAAAGTTTTAAGAAATTAAATATAAAATTAGAAAATGTTAAAAAAACACAAAAAATCTAGTGCCTTCAAATGACAAGTTATATAGAATAACTTCTGGAAATCATGGTGAAATTGGAAAGAATACAAAATCAGTAGTAGTAATACGAAAGGAGTCAGGTAGCAATATAAACTAATTATTATGGAATATGAGGTTTAAGTCTTGAGCAATGTATTTAAACATGTAGGGGAAATATGTGAGCTCCTGGGAAAAGAGTATTTATGAAAACTGATGTAAAAATTCAGAAGGGACCAGCGAGTATAGGGAAAAAAACAGAGAAAGTAGTTTATATCTATCATTTGCCTTATACTTTTAACCACACACGAAGCCAGGCAGGGCTGGCAAAGTCAGAGGCAGCAGAGGTCTAAGTCCTTTTATGGCAACCCCATGGGTGTGACACGCACATGACAGCATGGGGACTCAGTGACCTTGGCAGGCTGAAGAGGGCAGACCCAGAACAGAGTGATGAGGGCAAGGAGGGCTGGGCAGGGCTGAGGCGACACAGACACAAGAGCTGGGAGCTCCTGGGATGTTCAGGGGTGGGATAAGACGGGCAGGAGGAGGGGCACGATGGCATGGTCATGCCAGGTAGAGCAGGGAAAAACCATACCACTCGGAATCCTCCTCAGTGTTCCAAAATGGAAACATTAGGGGACACCAGCCCATGTTACCCAGCCCTGACCTTCTCAAGATGCATCTCAAAAGGGAGTACTAAAAGATGGCATTTGGCATAGTGATTAAAATGCCACATTGGGGCACCTGTTTCTGAGCGCCTGCGTTTGAGTCCAGGGTTCATTTCAAGTTCTATCTTTCTACTACTTTCTATGATGGCTTAAGCATTTGGGCCCTTGCCACTCACATAGCAAATCCAGATTGAGTTCTTGGTTGTTGGGGACATTTAGATGGAAGACCTCTCTCTCTCACCCACTCTTAGATAAAAATAAATAAATAAGCTGATAAATCAATAAATCATAAATAAATCAAACATAAGCAAATAATCATAAACTGATACATAAGTCATAAAGAAAACAAATAAATCAATAAATAAACCAATACATGAATCATCAATAAATATAACAGGAACAAATAAATCATAAGTAAATAAATATTTTTAAAAATAAAAGGGAAACCTACTATCCTCAACCTTTTCCCAATATCTCTGGCTGAAGAATATTAACAATTTCATAGGCGCGGGCAGATTGGCTAATCAGATGCTGACTACACACCCGATGGTCCCAATGGCGGTTTGGAGGACCAAGGGTCGTGGACTCCTCCAGCAGAGCACTGAGTGGGCATCACCCAATACCCACTCACAGGCATGGCAGCTCCCACTCGGGACTTTATACTCAATTTGCGATTGGCTTTCTGGCCAGGAACAGATCTGGGATACGTATGGGATCAAACCTTTGTTCTTTCAAGATTCTTGACCCAGTCTCCAGACAGTGGTGATGAGAGCAGAACAGATCTCCTGGTCTCACCCAGGTTCAGGGAAGAAAGAGACACAGGGATGAAGGAATGGAATGGGAACCCATGGGATTTTGAGACACCCTCTCCCAAAGGAGGGACAGAGAGGCGACCAAAGGTAGACACACAAGCCCAGAAAAAAACTACACAATGTCGTGAGAAAAAAAAAAAGTGGATGGAGGGGGATGCAGCAGGCTCAGCTGTCCGCCCGGGAGCGCAGGTCAGAGGTGAGCGGATCGTGCTGAATGGTCTGGTGAAGCATCAGCCCCAGGAGTCCTGCCCGATTGGTCATAGCCATGCGCACCTTTTGCTCTTGTTCGAACAGCTGTTCCAGCTTGTGCAACTGTAAGAGATGCGTGTGAGAGGGAGAGACCAGGACCCCACCCTGTCGCCCAGCCCCAGTCGGCCGTGCAGCTTACCGCCCGCACGCGTTCCAGGTCCACCTCGGCGCGCCTCAGCTTCTCCCAGCAGTAGTGGCGGTTGCACAGGTGTTTGGGAAGGCGACAGAAATCACCTGTGAACTCAAAGACATTGCTCACTAGCGGGCAACCACACACCTCGTCTTTGGACACCTGTGGGGAGAATGAAGGATGATGAGCTAGGGAGGAGGGTAGCAGGTGGGGTGGATCAGGTGGGCAAATGGGAGCAACAGGAGCATGGAGGGGAGGGAGGAGCAGAATGGGGGAGATATCAGGTGAGTGAGGGAGATGAGCTCGGAGGAGAGGGGACAGGTGAGCTTGCTAAAGCATGGAGCGTGGAGGATTGAGGTGAGCCAAGCAGGGATGGAAGAATGGAAGTGATCAGGCAGGAAGCAGTGGAGAATAGAAAGAGATCAAACAGAAGAGGGGGAGACTGGAATGCAGGACACACAGGCAGAATAGGTGGAATGGAAACAGGCAGGCAGCAGGAGGGGAGGGATGGGGGGGTGGTTGAACAGGGGAGAGGCAGAGCAGTGGGAGCTGTTGAGGCCTGGAGGAGGTGAGGAATGAACCAGGGACGGTAAAAGAAATGGGGGGGGGGCAGGGGAGCGGCGCCGTGGCACAGTGGGCTAAGCCTCCGCCTGCAGCGCCGGCATCCCATAGGGGCACTGGTTCATGTCCTGGCTGCTCCTCTTCCAATCCAGCTCCCTGCTATGGCCTGGGGAAGCAGTGGAAGATGGCCCCAGTGTTTGGGCCCCTGCACCCGTGTGGGTAGACCTGGAAGAATCTCCTGGCTCCTGCTTCGGATTGGCGCAGCTCCAGCTGTTGTGGCCACTTGGGAGGTGAACCAGCAGATGTTTCTTCCTCTCTGTTTCTCTACCGCTCAAATAAATAAATAAAATTAAAAAAAAAAAAAAGAAATGCAGCGGGGCGTAAACAGGTAGAAAGAGAGGACTTAGATGTCAGGCCGAGTGCAGATAATTGGGGGACAGTGAGGCAGGAGAATGAGATGGAAGGAAGTGAGAGAGTGAGGAAGACAGGAAGCAGGGCCATCATGCTGGGGGCAGGGAGGGAACAGAGTGGCCAGGCAGGGAGTGGGGCAGGAGTAGAGCAGAAGAAGGGGTGCTGTTCACATAGCGAGGAGGGCGGGACCACAAGCAGGTAAGGCAGGAAGGGAAGGAGAAATGTGGGGTGTGCAAGCCGGCAGGGTAGGAAAAGAACAGTCAGGGAGAGATGAGTTAAGCAAAGAGGGAGCTCAGGGAGTAAAGGGGGAAGGTTGAGGGGCCAGCCTGGGAAGAGGGGAAGCACAGGGCTCAGCCAGAAGGCAGGGAGGGGGAAGGGAAGCAGAGGTGATCAGGCAGTGAGGAAGGAGGGATGGTCGGCAGGCTGGTGGAAGACAAGGACAGGGATGGGGAGGAAAGTAGAAATGAAATAGTCTGAGAAGAAGGCACTGGGGGCCCATCAGGCAGGAATGGAGGGTGAGGAGGTGAGCAAGGAAGACTCTTACCTTGGGGTCCCGAGTGTGCTCGGGGCACAGCACCTGGAGCCGCTTACAGTACCTCTTACTCTCTGGGTTGTAGACATCACAAAAGAGTCGTGTGGTCCTGGGGAAGAGGTGGAAAGGGGGGAGTGCTGAGGGTGAGGGGGGAGTCCCATTCCAAACCCTGCCCACATGTTGTCCCCTGAGCCGGCATACCCTGCTTCTAACCACACCCACCTCTGCCTGTGAGTCTACGCACATCCTGCCCTTGACCTTGCTCGCCCTTGCTCATCACCTTGTCCACCTCATGCCTTTGACTGCATCTAGCACCCGCACTCACCCTTCAATGCAAGTAGGGTACAAGGATCCAAACGATACCTGGCACTCATACTGGGAAGAAGGCATAAAGAAGAGGAACTGTGAGTGGACAACATGTGTTCTCCCATGATGAGGCCCACACGACCCATCTGTGCTTCCTGGCCCCTGTGCTCCTGTCTGCCCAGCAGAGGTCCCTCCTACCAGTGACGAATGCCCCACCTTGGGTCTCATGCTGGGGATGGGATGAAAGAACACAACAAATACTGACGGCAAACCTGCCCCCTCTGAATCCTGCCCACCCTCCACCGCACCCAACCCTGAACACTCTTGCGCCAACCTTGGCAAAGCAGCGCTCCATGTGGCGCAGGGCCAAGTGCATTTTGATGGATCGCCCGCAGGAGACACAGAAGATTTGCAGGTCTGCCTGGTCCTTCTCAGTTTTGTCTCTCTGCTTGGGAGAGAGCCGGTGAAGCAGAGCAGGGTGAGTTGACAGGCAGGGCAAGATACTGGCACCCTCATGCTCCACCCTACCCACGCCCTCTCACCTCCTCGTCCACACACACAGTCTGCTGCTTGCCACGCAGGATGATGGCCTCAAGTTCATATAAATGGTGTTCCATGTGCTTCAGGTGGCTATGGGTGACCTGCTTCTCGTGATCGATTTGCTCCAACATTTTTTGGTTGATCTCCTGAGCGACGCAGGGGCTGTTCTGCCACTGCTGGATGCGCTGGGGCAAGATCTCATAGATGCGTCTGGAAGAGGGAGACAGCAAGAAGTGGAATGCGTGGATGGGGGCAATGAGGAAAGAAGAAATAGATAAGTGATTGAAGGGTGAATGGGCAATTGAACAGTGGATGGATGATGAGTGATTTTACAGGCGGATAAATGGATTGGTGGGTGGAACGTGGAAGGTGGCTCCGTGGGTGGGTGGCTACAAAGGTGGGCTGGTGGATGCACTTACAGATGGCATAGATCACACCCTACTTCACCACTCATCCCTGCACCTCCAAGCGCACTCACTCAGCTGCAAGCTTCATGCCGCAATCATCCGAGC